TGTCTGACTCAAATCAACACACACAGAGGTTGGGGTTACAGCTCAGTTGGTGTAAACTGATTGTTTTTTTACACACCAGTTCCCGGGTTTCATCCCCACATTAACCAGACATGTGCTACAGTTTATCCCAACACTGGAGAAGGTGGAGATCGAAATTCAAGGCCATCTCAACTGTATTGAGAGATCGAGGACACTCTGGACCGTAGACTGTTTCTCAACAACAATAAACTGAAAAGTGGTGTGTGTGTGTGTGTGTGTGTGTGTGTGTGTGTGTGTAATTTTAAAATTATACCCTTTCTAAAATTTTAACTGGAACTGACATTTTAATCATGGTATTTGCCATCCTCTATCTAGTATTTTGGTACTGCTGTTTCCAGAGCTTTTCCTTGGTTACTTGCAATTGCAGAGTAATTGTATAGATAAATTCTCTAGTCCAGCATTTGAATTTATGGAGTCTCCATGTGTGTGCACACGCGCACACACACACACGGCTATTTGTATTATAAATGTGCCCATGGAGGCCAGAAAAGGGTGTCAAATCCCTTGGAGTCCCTGACATGGGTGCTGGGTACTGAGCCCTTCCCATCCTCTGCAGGCCAGGAAGTGCTCTCAACAGCTGAGCTATGTCTTTAGCCTCCCTTACCTCACTTACGCTCTGAGGCTGGCTGGCCTCTCACTGAGCCTGGAGATTACCAATGTAGCTAGACTTGATGTCCAGCAAGCCCCAGAGATCCTCTTGTGTCCGGCTGCACAGCACAGGGATTCTAGGCATGTGCCATGAGGGTGGTAGGATCCAAACTCAGGAACTCATGCCTGAGTAAAGCCCTCTTCCCAGACCACACAAGTAGAAGTGAAGTGACTGCTCAAAGACAACATGGGGTCTCAACATAATCCAGGTCAAGTTATTCCCATTACTATTTCTGACCAAGTTATCATTCAACAGCATGTACCATGCAACATTTATTAAACAAGCACGTGCCAGAGAAGGGGTAATACCTCAGTACTTGCCTAGTACAGCCCTGGTCTGAGCCCAGAGCTAGTGTTTAAGATACTGTGTTAGGAGCTTCATATGAGATGGCTGTCTGTCAAGTGATTTATGTTAAGAGGCCTATGAAGGGAGCATTCCATTTTATAGGTGGGACAGTTTATTGCTACGACCATTCTATAACTCAGTCTAACTTCAAAGTCCTGTTATTTCTTTCTACCTTATCATGCGACTTCCTGATAGAACTGGGTGCTGCTCAAACACAGTGTATTTTGTTATCTACATCTGACAAGGATCTCATGACAAGCCTTATGGGCAAGACTAGCGTACTGAGGGCAAAAACTACAGCAGAGCATTGTTGCTGAAAGAACTGTAGGAACTCCACTCAAGGACTTGTGCCTGCTTTATGTAGGAGCCCACAAAGGATAACCCCATTCCCACTGTCTCACACTCAAGGGGAGGAGGAGGGGGATACCACAGATATTCTGGAAAAAATCCAACCCTAAGACACTGTGTGGCTAAACCTCCTCTCTGGCCATGAATCGCCAGATGGGGTGATAGCTTGGGGCTACCAACCTTTGTATGTGCCCCCTCTTCCTTTTTAAGTCTTCATGAACAGAAAAGAATACTGAAGGTATTGTTTTGGTGTTTCTGAGGCAGGGTTTCTCTGTGTTAGCCCTGGCTGTACTGGAACTCACTCTATAGAGCAGGCTGGCCTCCAACTCAAGAAATCCGCCTGCCTCTGCCTTCTGAGTGCTGTGATTAGAGGTATGCACCATGGTACTCCTACCAAATGCCCAGGTGAGAAAATTTAAAAAGCAGCTAATCTAGACTATAGGTTCCACATCTTAGTCTTTGCAGAACGACATAGAGAACACTGGCCTAAAAGGGCCCAAACAATGTTGTGGGGTGGGGGTATTAAAAAAAAAAAAAAAAAAAAAAAAAAAAGGACAGATGTTAAGAATGCACCTGTCTACTTCCTGAGCATAGATGCAATGTGACCCGCTACTTCCTCAAGTTCCTATCACCATGTCCCCTGCCATGTCTGTACCATCAAACTATGAACTAAATCCCCATCTTTAAAAATCAGTAAAGTAAACCAAAAATTGACAAGCTTTAAGGTCTGGTGCAAATCCAAGCCAACTTTTAACAGGCCAAGCACATTGGGGGAAAAGGCCTTCTTACAGGGTCAACAAATGGAATCTGAAGGATAGCCTTTCTTGAGGCAATTGACACTTACCTGACAGCCATGCCAGTATTAACCAATGGCAGAACTAGCCCAAAGGCTCACAGAAGGGGAGTGACAACCTGTCCCTACCCCTCTGTGACAACCTGTCCATACCCCTCTGTTAAGCCCAAGCCAGCCTAGAATCACAACCACTTCTATAGCTCAAAGCATCTCAAAGAAAAGGAAGACACCATCAGGCAGCATCGTGGATGCCTGTAATCCCTGCCACTCGGGAGACCAGGCAGGAGGAGCGTGAGCTTCAGGTCAGTGTAACAAACAATAGAAGATGCCTGGGAAAGAAAGGAACAGGAAAGGAAGAGCACACTGATACCAAAATGGTGACGAGGATGGGCTGTAAATGCCACTAGAGATCCAAGTAAAGGACTGGAGCTGTTTACTAAGAAGACTCAAGGTCATGATATCCATCTCTAACTACTCAAGGAATGCCGTATGAGACCAAGACTGAGGGTGCAGAGCAGAGACTGACTCTGGCTCTCCAGAGAGACATGAAAGGACATGGCACACCTCCAGGCATGGAGAGCTCTGTTTTCAATGGTATCAGTTCATTTTACCTCCAAGCGAACCCAGTGCCTCGGGCACGGTAAACGAACAATCTACCACTCAGTTGTATGCCCAGCCTGTGGCCTCCAAGATGTTTAAAACCGGGGGTTCGGTGGGTCCTGTCCATCCTGCAGTTTTTAAAACTATCTCTGGTAAACTTACAAAGTACTCTAAAAGCTACTTTCAACACAGAGTACTTTAAAAGGATAAGTAGTTGTGACATTATTCCTCTCCTACCTTCTGATGCAGTCTCCTCCTTTCAGAAATTAAAAGGACACACACAAGGTTGTGTCTTATAGACGACACATGTCAGACTTGTCTGGGACAAAGTGTTGATCTGAAAGATGAGCTGAGTTGCTGCCACAAGGAAGGGGAAGGGATGAGGGTGTTGTTTCCTTGCATTAGCAGACAAGGTATACACCACCACCTTCCATTCTGTACTGTGATCCAGAGCCTGTTTCCAGTGGGTTACATAAAAATCGAAGCCATGAGCTATTGGCACTGAAATCCACCACATAAAAAGATGTCCTTCACAGCAGGTCCTTCCACATAGCTAAAGTCTTGTCATCGCTTTTAGCTCTGAGGCTGTCTTGGAAACATACATCCTAAGTGAAATTTTTTGTTGTTGTTTATCTGAGACAGGGCCTCACTGGGTTGCTCTGACGGGCCTGGAACCAGTTATGCAGACCCTCACAGAGATCTGCCTGTCTCTGCCTCCTGGGTGTTGGGAATAAAGATGTGTGCCATAGCTCCGGGCTCCAAAGAGCAAACTTTTAGGTTGGAGAGAAAAATTACTTTTTCAATTAGGATTTCAACTGTAATACTTTTCCCTTTTCTCTTACACTGAGGAAAAGGAAAGTGCAGAACGAAGTGTTTATTGCTCTCCAGAGGCAGGTGCATCGAAGCTGCCTAAAATTCAGGGTCAGGCTTGAGCATAGGCTCCAGTCTATCATTAACGTGGGCATGCATTATCACCTGACATTCCCTTCTTTGGATCCTACCCTTTATATGGAGTTGAAAAGAGAGGAGTAAAAATAAAACGCAGGATCAGAACCTGGGCATCTTTGTAAACTCTACACTCAGTAGTTTAATAATAGCACCCAACGTCAAGTGTCACACCCATTAGATTACGCATTCCAGTAGCATCCCTGCTGTACCACACTTCACAATTACTAATTAAGCTCTATTGTACAAGTTGGAGCAGTAATAATGGAGTGTTTACCCCATTTCAGGTCCTAAGTGCTTGTCCACATCTACCCTGACAACCCCTTGGGCTCCTGCATAATCATACGGCTATCTTAGCAGGAGAAGCTTAGGGATACGCAGGTTAAGCAATTTACCCAAGTATGGCTATAGAAATAAATGGAGGTAGGATGTGAATCAGGACGACCGAACTCAAGCCCACCAGCCTTTTCAGCCTCTGGACAATCTGATCAAACCAGATTAAAGATAGATTTCTTCTAACACCTGCAAAATAATTAAGAGAACAGGGAGACCGGAGCTGCTTCTACGGCCTTGGTTTCATTCTCTATTACACTGTAACACTCTTCCAACGTAACAAAAAGCCAGCCTTTCATGACAGTCAAGAAAATGTGTGACAGCGGCGCTTCCGGTTTTAGTTTGAAGACCCATCGCAGGCCAATACACAACATGATGCTTCAAGGCGAGCAGATGAACCTCAGAGGACAAGCGGCCCACACACAGGTCAGACTCAGGAAGGCTGCAATCAAACTGCGTAACCAGCAGCAGCAAGCGGTCGTTTCCAACGAAACGAGATAAAAACCCTTCCAGAGGCCGGTGTTGTTGTTATTATTATTTTAAAAAACCACTCCATTTACTCCTAAACAGGGCAAAATGGAACTTGCACAAACACTTAGTCATCAGGAGTTAACAAAGCTCCGAAGTTGCAAACCACCTCGTCCGCCCGTTCGAACCCGCAGCTGCTTAATTAAGTTCCTGCATCTCAAGGAGAGAAACCCGACTGACACCCAGAAGAGTGGCCCGGCGGAAGCGCCTGGGGTGGGGGGGGGGGAGAGGACCGAGCCCTGGGCCCGGGAGGGGACGGAGGTGGAGGGTGGGGGCCCCCGGACCTGCGCAGCCTGCACGGGGAGCCGGGGGCTCTTCCGGGTCCCTCCCGTCCCGGCGATGGGGAGGGGCGGGGAGGGGCGGGGAGGGGCGGGGAGGGGCGGGCGTGCGCGGGTCCCGGGCCCCCGGGCGGGTCTGCACCTGCAGGGTGGTGATGTGCTTGTCGTTGAACTTGTTCTCGCAGTAGCGCAGCACCAGCGACGTCTTCCCCACGCAGCCTTCCCCGAGCAGCACCACCTTGAAGGAGTAGGCTCGGCCCGCCGCCGCCCCGCCGCCCGCCGCAGCCATCCCTGCACGGCCGCCCGGGGCCCGGATCTCCGTCCGCGTCCTCCGCGGCCCAGGACCCAAGTCCCAGAACGAAGGCTCCCGGCCACCAGCGCGTCAGGGCCCCCGACGCTGGCCGAGCGCGGCCTCTCCTCCCTCGCTAATGGCGTCTCCTTCCTCCTACGTCACACCCCGCCGCGTCACGTGGCCGGCGCCCGGGCGGCGGTGGGCGGGGCCGGGCGGTGGGCGGGCCCGGGCGGTGGGCGGGGCCGCTCGAGCCCGGACCGGTCCCCCGCGTCTGCAGCGCGGTGCTGGCTCCGCGCTCCCGGGAGCCGGCGCTGCCGTTTGGGAGCCGACCCCATTCCGGGGTTGCGGGGTTGGGGTGGCAGGGAGGACGGGGCGCAGGGCGTGGTCGCCTTGCCCCGGGAATGCTCGCAACGCGAACGGCCTTCCCGCCAGGGCTCATCGCGAAGCCAGGTCCGGCCAAGGTGCCCTTGAGGCTCCGTCTGTGCGTGGGATCGGACGGACGCGCCCGTCGTCCACCCGGCCGGGGCCTGTGCTCGTCGTGCAGATCTCGGCTTAAACCGGAAAGGCTTCCCCTTCCCACAGCCTTCCTTCCATCCCTCCTACTCGCTGCCCCGCTAAGGTATTTCCTAACTAACAATGCTGTGCCCTCTGTAGGCGCGCTTACCACACTCGGAATCCCGATTGGCCCGTAGGTTTAAGGGCAAGGATTGTGGAACCCTGCCTGGGTTCCCAGCCCTAAGAACAAGGCTAAGAATGAATGATGTTTCCTAAGTCATTGAGCCCTGCAGCCCCAGCACTCTATGCTGAGTCCTCTCTGATAGGGTCTGGTTTGTGTGACGATTGCTTATTTTTCTGCTCCACTTTATTTCATGAAATACACTTTTCCAAGAAAGCAACCTGAAATTTTGTAATTTGGAGCCCTTTAACATAAACGTCTGTTTTACTTCATCGGATTTATTTTACACTTCAGCGGGACAGTGGTGGCGCGCGCCTTTAATCCCAGCAGCACTCGGAGGATGCAGAGGCAGGCATATCTCTGTGAGTTTGAGGCCAGCCTGGTCTACAGAGCCAAGGCTGTTAGACAGTGAAGTCCTGTATAGAAAACAAACAAACAAACAAAAAAAAACAATAAATAAAAGACAGCCTATTCATTCAAAGAGTATACAAATACTGCTACTACTTGCCATCCTCTGCATTGCCTGAGATATAATTGTTTCCGCCCTCAGCTTTTTATCTAAGGAAATAAGACATGGGCAAACATGCACCGAGTACTTTTAACCTGAACTACTGATCAGAATACTTTGGAAACATACATGGGAAGCTGGCTGAGTCAGCACACTAGAAAAGCTTCCTGGAGAAAGTCACCTTTTGTTAGGAGCATCTTACGTTAAAAAAAAGAAAGGAAGAAGGAGACAGGAAGTAGGAAGATGGGTCCAATGTTGAGCACCTAAGCGTGACAAGAATGCAGACAACAAACCTGAGTCCGAAGCGTCGCCTAAAGTTCAAGCCAGCCTACTTTGCATTGTGAGTTCGAATCCTGTTGGAACTACATAGCAAGATCCCATTTCAACGACAATAATAATAAGGGAAAAGGACTTACAATGAGGTGCAAAATGTGTTATCAGGTTTTTCCCTTTACAAAATTAGTCTGGCTATAATTAGGAAATTGGGGAAGGATAAAATTACTTATATCTACCTAGAGCCAACCATTTACAGGATTGTCTTGTAAATTATCTTCATAAACGTGTCTGAGATAATATTACCTACCTTATTCATTGCACTGGATATGTCGACTTCATGAACACACTGGAGTTATCTGAAAGGAGGGAACCTTAACAAGATCTGGCTGTAGACATTGGACTGACTCAGACTCCCTGAACATGGGTCTCAATTAGAAGGCCTGGCAATCTAAGGGACCTCTGATGGTGGAACCAGGATGAATCCCTGGTACACAAAAGGACCTTGTGGGCACATTCCTCATGGAGGGATACTCCATTAGCTTAGAGGCAGGAGGGAGGGCCTAGTTCCTACTCCAAATAACTTGACAGATTTTGATGATCCCTCCTGGAAGGCATCACCCTCCCTGTGGAGTTGGGGGGGGGGTAGGTGGGACGGGAAGGGGGATGGGGGCATGGGAGGGAGGGAGAGGGAACTGGGGTCGATATGTAAAATAAGGAAAATTACACACACAGAGACACACACAGATAGATAGATCTGGCTGTAGAGCATTTTCTTTCTTTTTTTTTAAACAGACTTAATTCACTTTATTTTTCTTGTATAAAACCCCTTATGTGGTGGCAACAGCTGGAGCCTGGGTCCTCTGAACAGAGACTCTGATATGGGCTTTCACAAGATGGTCAGTGAATTCCTGATAAGGAGACTTGGTGAACACAGTCTCTTTCCAGAGGTCAGGGTTCAGGTAGCTGTAGGTCTTAGAGATGGCATCAAAGGTGGCCTTGGCAAAGTTGCCCAGGGTGGCAGTGCAGCTGATGTGTAGCAGTCATCAATACCGGCCATCATCCGTAGCTTCTTGGGCACAGGAGCAGAGACGATGCCAGTGCCTCTGGGGGCAGGGATGAGACGCACCAACTCAGAGCCACAGCGGCCTGTCACTTTGCATGGAACAGTGTGGGGCTTGCCAATCTTGTTCCCCCAGGAGCCTCTCCTCACAGGGACAATGGAAAGCTTGGCCAAGATGATGGCCCCTCGGATAGCTGTGGCTACCTCCTTGGAGCATTTAACACCAAGACCAACATGACTGTTGTAGTCCCCAATAGCGACAAAAACCTTGAACTTGGTCCGCTGGCCAGCCCTTGTCTGTTTCTGTACTGGCATGATTTTAGAACCTCATCCTTAAGAGATGCCCCCAAGAAAAAGTCAATAATCTCGGATTCCTTAATGGGCAGAGAGAAAAGGTAGATCTCCTCCAGGGACTTGATCTTCATGTCCTTAACCAGGCGGCCCAGCTTGGTGACAGGGACCCACTCCTTGTCTTCGGCTTTACCTCCACGAGCCCCACGGCTTCGACCACGACCGCGGCCCCTGAGATGGCTGCCGAAGCCTCTGCGGAAGCCGCCGCGGCCTCCTAATCCTGGGCCCCCGGGTCCTCTGGGCCCTCCTGCTGCACCGGCGTCATCCGCCATTTGGTGTTTTCCCGAAGTAGAAGAAGAGCGAGCATTTTCTTAATTAGTGATTGATAGCAGAGGGAGGACCCAGCCCATTGTGGGTGGTGCCATCCCTGGGCTTGTGATCCTGGGTTCTATAAGAAAGCAGGCTGAGCAAACAATGTTGAGCAAGCCAGTAAGCAGCTCCCCTCCATGGCCTCTGCATCAGCTTCTGCCTCCAGGTTCCTGTCCTGTTTGAGTTCCTGTCTTGACTTCCTTTGATGATGAACAGTGATGTGGAAGGGTATATGATCTATGGTCTGTCTCATTTACCACACTTGATTGTAACTGTTTAAACATCAATGGCTCCCATTTATTGAGCTCCATGGCAACAGAGACCATATCTACTTGAGTCCCATTCATAGTAGCACAGTCATTGGCAGATCATAACATCCAGATAAGTATTTTTTCAATGGAGAATGACTGAAGAAAAGATGTACAGAAGACATTGATGACCCCTCTTCCCCAAAGAAGAAACAGTAAGTAGCCCATGCCAACTCTAGCATTTCATCAGATTTCAACAGTCAAGTTCCTTGGACAGTCATGCTAGAGACAAGCTTGGTCTTAATATATGAGAATAATGTATGTACAAGGAAAAAAGAAGACAATTTAAAAAGCAGGGATCACATACATTAAAAGTGGTCTATGATGCCGGGTGGTGGTGTCGAATTCCTTTAATCCCAGCATTGAGGAGTCAGTGGCAGGTGGATCTCTGTGAGTGTGAGGCCAGCCTGGTCTACTGAGTTTCAGGACAGCCAAGGCTACACAGAGAAAGTCTGCCTCAAATACAAAGGAGGAGAAGGAGGAGAAAATAAAGAAAAAGGAAAAGCACACATACTTAGGGTCTTTCTCTGTTCCTTCTCGATATTTCTTTTCTTGCCTCTATCCAGATGCATCCCTTGATAACTTCCTTCTACATCTTTCCTCTCCTGTTTTTACTTTTTCCCTTATAGCTTATATATCCCAGCAGAATCTTTCAAGCAATGCAAAAATTACAATTAGAATAGAACTGTTTTTAAGTAAATGATTACAATGAATACAAGTAAAAACCAGGCATGTTTTCCCATACATGATTCAGTTCCTTACATGACTAAATATTTTACACATTAAGAGTGAAAAACAAATTATTCCCAAGAATCCATGTACATTCATACGGAAGCAACTTGTTATAGATTAACAGAGTGTAAGCAAGCGAGGTATTTTTCTTGGGCAGTTCTTTTACTGGCAGGCTGAGTTTTACTATTGCAATGAAAGGACCAATCAATCTATCATCTATCTCAAAAGGTAATCTTATAAGAAATGTTAGAAGAATCACAAATCTAACCTCCTCTATATGAAAGAGAACCAGTCAGCTCTATTTTAAATCCTCAGGGTGCTTATCACTCATTGACAGTTTTTTTTTTTTTTTTATATCAGGAAGCTGAGGGCAGAAATGGGTACAAGGAATTAATCATCACCTGTGATCATCAACCAATTCTATCAAGAAAGGCCCGCCAGCCAATGATAATCGGGCTGCTTTGTTCTTGTTCCCTGACCTTAACAAGCCCCCCCACTCAACTGCGTGCCTTTCTAAACTTCAGAGAGTCTTCTTGGACTGTTTGCCTCAAAACTATTTAACAAAACCATCTTAACCTAACCCTAGGTCATTTTTAAGGCTTTGTTTTAGCTATGATGAGTACCAAAACCTGTGAATGCTTCTCCCAACATTAAGGTTAAAAGAGCTTGAGCCCACTTAGCCTCTAGTACTTAATTATTTCTCTTAATCTTTAACCTAAGCCACAATCCTCCATAGAAACTCATGTGTTCTAACGGTGTAACACTTCCTTGTTTTATGTTTCATTGTCTACAGCCTCTG